CCTTTCCTAATCTTTTCGGAATATAATCATTTTGGTTTTTGTCTTTTTGAAATCATGCCTACTGCTTCCTGTCCTGTGTGTAATTAGTCATGGGGATCATTGACTGCTCATTTGCTTGTGAACCACTCCTACCTGATGCTGCATTTTTACTCCAATTATTGCTCTCAGCCATGACTCATGAGCCTTATTCATGATAGTGAAGCCATTAATAGATAAAGTATGCTATCTGATTACTGATCTCTGCTTGGAGTCAATGTTTTCCTGGTATTCTGTTTATGCTCATAAGGTAATGGTAGTTACTGCATAAACTGATTTATTGATTTGTCAGGGATCAGGAACTTCATCATATTGGCTACAATGAGATGTCTTGAGTGTTTTTAAATATTGTTTACTTGTATGGCCAGGCAACTAGAAGTTGGAAATGGGAGGTGTCACGGGAAAGCTTGAATCACCAGAAATGGTTTGGGTACCAGAAACAAAACTAGAAGCTAAAATGGTTGAAGCTATGCAGCGAAGAGCATCTAAAGGAACTGCAATGAAATCCTTTAACAGCATAATCTTAAAGTTCCCAAAAATTGATGAGAGCTTAAGGAAGTGCAAAGCTATTTTTGAGCAGTTTGGTATGTATGGCTTTCTTGTAATGTTCTTCAATTAGCTGACGATTAACCCAAACATGAAATTTGTGATACTATAGCCACATGAATGAACATTTTAAGCATCAATGTCTGGCCAAAACGATATTCTGAAAGAGATTGGTATTCCCGGCACTTTTCTGGTATTCCCTGCAGAAATACTCATTGCATTTTCTACTTGTCTGGCCTTCCAGTGAATCAATAAGTTTTATGTTGAAATCTTCAGCAAATTTTTGTTCGTTTACGCCATAGCATTCAATCTCCCACACATGTTTTTTTTTTTTCGCATAACTTGTTTTCATTGCTTTTCTTTGTAGATGAGGATTCGAATGGTGCAATTGATCATGAAGAGCTGAAGAAATGTCTCAACAAGCTTGAAGTTTCTTTCACAGAGGAGGAGATAAATGATCTCTTTAATGCTTGTGATATCAATGAGGATATGGGAATGAAATTCAATGAGTTCATTGTACTTCTTTGCCTTGTCCATCTTCTCAAGGACAATGCTACATCACTTGAAGCTGTATCCTTAAACACAAAATTCGATTTTCTGTGCTTCTGTTCAAGCTAGTGTCTGCTACTTTTTTCTGATAGGTAAAAGTCAATCTTTAAGTTATATTATGGTATCAAACATTTTGGTTTCTTTGAGGTTATTTGGCTGTTCTTTTGACGTGACAATTCCCGTGTTTTTAGAGCACAATCAAGGGCATTCATCCTTCTCTCACCAGGAGGATGCCCTTGTACTGGTGATTTCAAGCCATGGCACCTAACTTCCAGACTTAGAACCTTTCAGAAAGCATATAAACAGGTGTAGGTCCCTATAATACATGCTAGGATTGTGTTTTTCGGTTCTGTCATCTTGGTCTTTCCATGACATTGGTTAGAAATCAAGGATGGGAATGCAAAATTTGGAGGCCACGTTTGAAACTTTGGTTGATGCATTTGTGTTCTTGGACAAGAACAAGGATGGTTATGTTAGCAAGAATGAGATGGTTCAAGCCATAAATGAATCAGGGGAGCGTTCCTCTGGACGAATAGCCATGAAAAGATTTGGTCAGCTCTCTCTCTTTCGCTCTCCCATATGACAGAAAATGCAGATCCTAACTCAAATTCACTTGTGCATTTTGATGCTTAGATTGCCATGTGCATTTTGTTTAAAGGGGAAGAGGCACTTGTGTCCGCATAGATTGTGCATAGGCAAGGCAGAAAAAGATTAGACAGCATCCAAAATCCCTTAATAACTTTAGCTGACGCCTAACTCTAACTAAATTCATTGCATAACATATGCTTATTGTGACATTGCAGAAGAGATGGACTGGGATAAAAATGGATCAGTGAATTTCAAGGAATTTCTTTTTGCATTTACACGCTGGGTTGGGATCGATGAGGAAGAAGAAGAGGAAGGGAGGGTCTGAATCAACATATGATGAGCCATGGCTGGCACTTGCTCCTGTCTTGGTTTTCTCTCGGTAATAATATGAACATCCAAGTTGGCAATAGAAACATGCAGGATCATAGTAAGTTGGCTTCTTTCCTTAAGAATCTTCGGTGTTAATAGTCTCAAATAAAGATGATGAAGGAGCTTTGCATCGTGCTTTGCTTGACAATTATACAACTTTTGTCTAAGGCTAGGATTTTCCATTACTTTGGTCTTTATGTATCCTTATTTCAAGACAATACGCCCTTGCTGATTCACTAAGTGTGAAATTCGTCGGCCAAGCCACCGTTGGTAATAAATTAGCCATCAACAACCAAATACTAGACACAGTCGCAGAAATAGTTTGGTTTTTTGATTTCAAACCGACTATCCATGAACTTTATTAATTGAAAAGATATTTGAATTTTATAAATATTCAATTAAAATTTAAAAATATTAATATTCGAATATTTGATTAATGACCTCTTCACTTAAAAATCAAAATTCAAATCTCCCTTCCTTAATTTCAAAAACTGCACTCTATTACCCTAAACACTGCCTATTAAATACTCAATCTCATTAAATTACTGACTTTTTATATTTTATAAGAATTACCTGAAGTCATTATTTACGGTTTCAACAAAACAGGAAGGAAGAAGAGAAAGAGGGAAATCTACCAAATACAGTACACAGCACATTTACGAACAAAGAATGCCTTTTAATAACGTAATAATAATAACATCCAAGAGTGCGATCTACAATTTGATTTTGATAAATACCAAACACTCCAACCCCAAAAACGACATTCACTAACGTAAAATCACCCTCACTTCTTCTCTATCCAAACCATACCTTAACTCCCCCCATATCAAAACTGTCATTGCAAGCTTTAATACCATGACCTAATGATACAAGCACAGTTCAGGAGGGCTGCGACTGCCCCAACCAAACTGCCTCAACCCACAGACATACAAATGCAAAAGTACAAACCCCGACAACTCAGACACCTGTCCCTGACTGTGTAAATACTAGCTTTTTAACCTTCTCCCAAACACAATATAAACACACTTTCATATAGAAACAAGTTAGAACTGGCACGCAACAGTGCCAGTGCCCCGACGGCAGTTGGAGGCATTGCCTGACACAGCAACACCTGCAATGTCCGGGAAACTGCTGCTTACGGCAGACACTAAGACACAAGCTCCAAAAGCCCACATGGAGGGATCCTTTACCCCCTAGTTTTCGCTCTCTTCATACCAAGGCTGTTGTGGAAGGGGGATACAGAGCCAGACATGGGAGAACCTTCCTCACGAAGCGTACCATTCAGCATTGCTAGCTCTCGCAGCTGTTGTTTCTTGTAGAAATCCTGGGATTCATCCTATTTCTCGAAAATAAATAAAATCATGAGACCCAATAAACACATAAATTAATATTTCCCAGAGAGAAGGACCTTTTACTCACCACAGGTTTGAGCAAATCTTCAAGTATCTCCCGTGCTTGCATCAGGCGAGCATCAACTATTTCAACAGGTAGTTCTCCCTCGACTAGGATATGAAGAGGTTCATTAAGATGTTCATACCCAGGCTTTCCTCTCATCATTTCTTCCTTAACAATTTTAAAAGATAACATTACTACATTTATATCCACATAAGAGAGACAAAGAATTTAGCATTCACTGGAAAGAACAGATAATTCAAGGTCAGGTACACTTTCATCAAAATCTTTTTACTTTGATCAGAGATTTTCCAAACTGGTTTAATGAGCAATAACTATTGTGAAACAAGCGAAGAAAGGGATCATTACCCTAGCTGGATCCTTAATACTGCCCTGCCCTCTTATCAGGACACGACACTCTGTATTTGCTTCCACACGCTTAAGAGAGTTGCCCCTAGGACCAAGGAGGCGGCCAACAAAATTGTACTGCAATATTAACTTAGTTAGATGCTAAAACAGGAAAATTCTAAAATCACTGTGAGGACAGGAGTTCATTCATACATTAGGGTATTTCTCGACAGGAATATCCACTCTGATCGTTCTCTTAACAATAAGACCAGAAGAGCTACCTTGAGAACTCAGCCAGTTCTGTGCCGAGGAGGGCTGTACTAATCCTGACATCTGCACCATAGTATTCCAGGTTTTGTTAAATAAACCATAGCAACAGATTAATGCGAATGTCTTCCATTGTATGGCACAGATAAGATTAGGGAAAAAAGGACTCATTCCTTAGACAAGCACCAGGCATTCCCCAAAGACATTTCATAACAAGTGCCTTGAACAGATCAAAATATTTCATTCTGACAGAATATCCATAGAAGTAAACTGAAATTTGAGGACTACCAAGCCTAAAAACATTAATATATGATTGTCCCAACGAATCTGGCCACTACTAACACACTCAACCTCCAAGTGATTGGGATCAGATGAGACTATCTAAGCAGTTTCTAGCACACCAGGTAAGCTAGTATTTCCAAAACAGGTAATTGGAATCATGGAAACCAATTTGGGGGGACAAAAAAAAAGAGACTGTTCAGTTATTGAAGTCAGCACTAAAGTACACAGTTCAGAGAATAGCCCTCTTCTCAGAACTCCTAATATGCGCTGTATCACACTCAATGATCCGCATTTCAGACTTCCATCCTAACAGAAACTGTAGTTTAACATGTAAGATTGTGACGAACTGTCATCCCCTGCACATTTGATTTTATCTTGACAATGATAAAGGCCAGAGAAAACAATAAGTCATATAATCAGAAGCAACGGTCTGAAACATTTTTTAAGCTAAATCTAGGTTTCCGGACTTCTTGATGTTAGCCTCAGACTGCCTGTCATAAGGGAAAGGACAATGCAAGCTACAAGTCAAATAAAGGTTAGGTTAGCATGAAATGTAAAATATTAAGTCAGCAATACCTCCAAAAGCAGTAAAATTAGATGGTAAAGAGTTATGTTAATGGTTAGTATCCATACTTCTGATTGAAACCGTGATGTCCATCCATTCATATCGGCTCCTCCATTTGAAAATATTCCTCCAGAAGCCAGGGGGCTAGCTTGTTCAAGCCCACTTTGACCTAAAACTGATGCATTCCCCAACAGTGTGGTTACACGCAAAATTTCTGCTCCAAAAATGTCATTTTCAAGAATAAGATGTACCAGTTAGCATTTGTTAAGAAATCAGTTAGCAGTCACCACAAAATGGAGAGACTACATGGAATGTTAATATAGTCAGTTAAATATCAACTCTTCCTTCATAAAATAAGCTACTCTTCCAGTTGAATGCAAACTGGATCGAAATGAAAAGAAAGATGTAGTTAAACTGTATTTTGGTTTATTTATACAGCAATAATAAGATATCTACAGATCTTAACAAAGAATAATTTGACTGACTACCTCGCACAACCATAAATGAATCAAATCATTAGTTAAATCTGAAATCATACAAGTGAACAGAAAAAAATCACATGAAGCACTTAAAGAAACACTATTTAATTGCATCACCACTAAAAATTTAGCACATTGCTGCATGACAATTTTATACAATAAACAGAAGAAAGAGAAAACAAACAAGGCAACTAAGATCTCTGTCAATGAAATCTGAAAGAACTAGATCTTTCAGGCAAGCCACCAAGATTTCTCAATTCCTTGAGAGACCTTGGGATCCACGATATGATGATTTCGCAATGGCCTATTAAAGCTATTATTTCAGTAAATTTAAAATATATTTTATGCTCTTATAGCTGGCAGTTTGGAAACATACACCCTTGAAGTGTTACCAATTTTGTTTAAACCTACCATAGGCAGCTCCCCAAGATGTATACCAGTAGAACCATTAGCTATCTCTCTGTAACTCTTTCCTTCATTACTGTTATTGAGGTTCAGAAACTTCCTTTTTCTCCCATTCTCTTATTTTCTCTTAGGACTGCACTAGCAACCTCTTTTTTCTTTTTTATCCTTTCCTACCCTAAACCCTAAGATATGCCTAACTCTCCAGTGCAATATAGATGAGCTATCAATGTTCATGTAAGATTCATCCTATTGGCTTATGAAACTAACTTAGAACCATTGTTTTCTGCTATGTTATTGTAGCTCTACCAGAAAAAAATTGAAAATGTAAGCAAGCCTTTCACTGAGGATCGAAATCCTATTGGTTTTTGAAAGTAATTTAGTAAATGAATTAGCTCTAGCATCAGCTTTTGACAGGAGATTTAGTAATGAAGTTAGTGTTAGCCGTTAGATCCCTGATTAGCATTTCTAAGTCAGTTACTTGTCGAGCTAGTATTTGAGGGTTAACTTTTAGCTTTAAGTTGTTATTTTTCTTTTCATAGAAATAAATCGGGGAAAGGGGGGCAGATAATGTTCTGGATGAAAGATCCTTTCACAAGAAAGATGATTGTTGTTTTGAAAAACTCACCCTGGTTCAACAATCGATAAGTATGTGGGAGCACTGGCATGAATGGACTAAGCTTGTGACGCTCTGCCAGTAACTCCGAGAGGTATCTGCAAAAAAGAAAATGGAAACCATCAGCCAATTGTGGATTAACACATCTAAACAAAAGAGTCATCTCCTACTACCGGTCAATAGTGATATCAAAATTACAGAGTCATCTAAGAGTGTTACATACAATTCCCAGTTATTTAGCTTGGATTCAATACACCTACTTCCAGATCACATCTTAAACCTCAAAAAACCTTAGACACAACACAGTGAAAGCATCAACGCACTATAAATTCACCGACACATAAAATCTGAACTGATCTGTTAGAACAATCATAACATCATCAGAAACTTAGAACGAAAAGCATAATCAGCTAAAAAACGAATCAATCAATCACTAGATCTTGAAAATTCCAGCAGAATTCAACTAAGAAAACAAGTTCAACAGTGACCAAAGCATCTTTTACCAAAAGACAAAGATCGCAGTCAAGATCAGTACAGTAACAGCAAAGCACAAAGAGATAACCAAACATCCAGTACGATCGAAACCAAAAGACAAGTATAAAACCAAAGATCGCAAGACGTTTGAATAAAAAATTAACGCGGGAGACGAGAAAACAAGAAAAAATGAAAAAAAAAGAAAAAAGAACATACTTCTCTTGGTCGAGTAGGGCGGCGGAGGAAGCTGCGGCGGCAGCAGAACGAAGGCCAGAGAGATGAGGAGAGTGAGGGGCGGAAGGCGAGGGAGAGTAGGCCATGTACCTGCCTCCGCCACCTCCCGATGAAGTCATGACTAAAAGAGAAAGGTACAACACGGTGGTGATGGTGGTGGTGGTTGTTGTTGTTATATATTTCCCTTTTTTTGGGTTTTTGTTTATTGTATGTAAAATATTAGTAAAGAAAAAAAGTAGTGCCAGGTAATATTTATACGTGTGAAGTGTAAATAAAATAAAA